CAAAGATCCTCTATTTTCCTCTCTGAGAGGGCTCCCTAATTTTTTTTGATAAATGAATTCTATTGCTTGTGCATATATATAATCTGTATTATAGACTTAGAGGGCTCCCTAGTTTTTGGATGAATGAGTTATGTAATATAGTTCTATACAATTGCATCATATAGAATTATATAATATAATTAACTATATGTCTTCCCACAAGAATGAGAGCTCTTTAAAGGCAAAGGATATGTTTTTTCCATCTCTCTCTGTCTTATAACTGAGACTTTAAATAACTATTAATTAATTAAATAAATGTTACAAACTTTCTATGGAAATGGATAATTATTATTATTTTAAGAAAACTTGTAAATTTAAAATATTTCTATCAAGTAATAAAGCCATCAGTTTTTTTTTTAATTGTTACTTTTTTTTTTTAAAGATTTTATTTATTTATTTGAGAGAGAGAGAATGAGAGAGAGCACATGAGAGGGGGGAGGGTCAGAGGGAGAAGCAGACTCCCCGCCGAGCAGGGAGCCCGATGCGGGACTCGATCCAGGGACTCCAGGATCATGACCTGAGCGGAAGGCAGTCGTTTAACCAACTGAGCCACCCAGGTGCCCGCCATCAGTTTTTTAAATAAGAAAGCAGAAAAGATTTATAATTTTAAAGTTCTTTTGAAACACCTCACAATTCCAGACCCATAAAGAGGAAGATTAATTTGAACACAAAAGGTGTTTTAAAAATCTCTGTATTATCAGAAATATAAAATCATAAATGAAATCAAGGACAAAAACCAACTGAAGAAAAATAAGGACAATACACAGGAGAGCCAGACTGTTTGTTCCATTTATTTGCAAAGCATTTCTACAAATCCGTACAAAAAGTTGAGCAAGCTAACTGAATCATGAGCAAGAGACACAAGTAGTTTATAAAAAGAGAATAAATACAGGAACCAATGATCATATTTAAAACATCGGACTCACTCATAATTGGAGAAATATAAATTCAGCTATATACAATTTTCACTATCCAGATTGGCATTTTTAAAAATTTGCTAATATCCCATACTGGTTAGATTGTGAGTAAAGAAACACTCTTACAGAGCTGGGAGAATGTATATTTGTGTAGCCTCTTGGAGGGAAATGTGGCCATATCAATCAGGTTTTAAAATGCACATGCCTTTTGATAGAGTCTTCCTACTAGAAATGTTGCTTATGGATATATTTTAAAAATATTTTTAAATGCAAAAAATTCAAGATTCTTTTTGCAAGAATTGTTTGCAAAGGCAATGAAAGGCTAAATTTCTTTGCACTATAGAAGAAAAACTTTTTCTTCCCCTTTAGTTTCTTTGGCTGGTCTAATAATTAAATTGATATAAAACAGATCAGCAGGAGAAAAACAGTAAATTTCATACACACAGGAGCCCCATAAAAATATGAGACCAAAAGGGCAGCCAGATCATTGAGGTGTATACAGCATCCTGAGTTAAGGAAAGGGATGGGGGTTCAGGGATACAAAGGAAGGCAGGCCACTCACAGGGAGGCAGAGGAGAAATTTGGAAAACAAAATTTGCCCTGTTATGCAGATAAATTTCTTAGATAAAAAGATACCTCTGGTAATAGCTCTTTTCCTGGTACAGACTCCTTTTCCAATGTAAATTTAGGCAGTGTAGGGGAGGAAAGAGCTTTTCCTGAATCTGCTGGGCTTTGATTTCTTTTGCTCAAAATAATCCTCACACCAAAGTGACACATTCTCCTTGTCACCATTTTTGCAGTTTATACCAAAGAAGCTACTTTGTAGGCATGGCTTGTGCTGGAAAACATGGACCCCAGCACACACATCGGTCACAAAAATTAATATGCTGATATTAAAATAATTACTGTATAGATGAGAAAGTGACCTTTGAATTCCCATCACAGTGAAAACTCAAAATTCTGAAAAGTATGTTCTGACCACTGGCCTTCATCAATCACAGAGTCTTTCCTTTGGACACAGATCACTTACCCCACTCCCAACACCCCCGCACGTTCATTCCATAGACTCACTTTTTTTGTTTGTATGTTTTTGCAAATCCCTCCACTTCGGTGGTTTCCTCCTTCTCTCTCTCCTTATCATCCTTCCATTTCTGTTAATTTCAATCTTACTCTCTTCTTCCAGTATTTCCCCCATGTAAATACTCCTATCAGGGCTAATTTCACATTACCAACAATTAGTCACAGAACTGAGTTGGAAAGAGAGGCACACAGGCTCTCCTGAACCAAGCTGACCCTGCACCTCAACATTTTGGTCCCCAAATTAAAAGTTCTGTCAGTCAGTCATGTGTGCAACGAAACACATCCTACATACCCGTGAACTTTAACTTTCAAAGCAAATTATAAAGTAATCTTCTGATGTCATTTAAATGTATTTTTGCAGATCCTTTCCTTCACTCAGTATACAACTTCTTCCCATTTCCACAACTGTTCTGAGCCTACCCGAAGAGGGAACAGAAGGCTGGCTGAAAACAAAGCATAAGCTGACACCCTGCAACCTCTCCCCAGCCCCGACTCCGGGGTAGGACCTGTGTGACAATCTTCCAGGAATCTGGAACTATCTTAATGTTAATGCCTTGCTAGAGGGGAAAAACTATCTTAACTTGACAATGGCAAGACCTCTGGTATCTTATAGGTCCTCCTTAGCATATGAAATTTCTCTTGAAATCTCCCTTTTCCTTACCTCCCCCAACCCCATAGTATATCATCACCCACCCCTCACAACCCTGGGGCAGCAGCTCTTTCTGCCCACAGGTCCTGTCCCTGCTCTTTAATAAACCACCTATTTGCACCAAAGACATCTCAAGAATTCCTTCTCCGGACTCCACCCCACTGAACCTCACCTATATTCCAAAACCACATCATACCCATTTGCAGTGATGTGGCTGGGAAAAAGTCAGATACAGGAAGGGTTGGCAGAAACAAAACCTTAGTATTTGTTCATTTATTATATCATGTAGATATATGCTAAACTCTACTTTTTCTTTCCTTCCCTAGCTCCTGGGTTTGAGGCTGTTGGGAAGTAAGATGGGGAAAGGGATGAAGACATCTAGAAGAAACCAACCACGTAAAGGGGGGCATGAAGGTGATCATTTCTCTGTCATTTTCTGGCTGATGCTGAATTGTTTCAAATGTTAATAGAGATCACGTGAGAGAAAGAATGCACCGGAGAAGTTATCATTTTGTATATATAATATAATAATATAGTATTTTATTATCTCATTATTATTATTTTTACTATAATCTGCTTTCTACTATCTTTCTGATAAGTAAATATTCTTAGTCCCAATCTTGCTACCTCCAGTGGCCATTCTCTTGGACATATTCATGCTTTTAACATAGTATAGCTCGCAACATCTTCAGGAAGTGAAACGACAGGATGCCTAGCTCATTCTGTTTGAGCATTACATACTCAGAATCAGTACTTTAATTTTAAAAATTTGCTGTTTGGGGGGGTGGTCCCGTGATCAAAGCATCTGATAAGAATGACTGTAAAATACATAAAAAATACATAAAATACATAATAATTTTCCTCGCGTGTGATCTCAGCATCTGGAAGCAACGCTTGTGACAGATCCACATTATTTGGTAAACCGATTGAAAGCCAAGAGTTTATTGGGAAGGTTTCTTAATCTGGTCTTTGAGGAAGAAAATGCAATAAGAAATGAGGTCAAGCTGGGATTTTCTAGCGAAGTCAGCAGCCCTAAATGAAGGCATATGAATCTTTGCCTTTCCGTTGTGTGAAAAAAATCTGCCAGGGGCTAAATTTTGTTGTTAGACTGGCCTCAACAGGCAAGACAGGGCTAGCTGGGGTAGGAGAGAGGCTGGAAGAAGAAAGGGAAGAAAAATGTGGCTTCCTGTGGTTTTAGGAGGGTCACATCAGTCTTAGGAAGTCAGGACACTGGGAGAAGCTAAATACATGCAAATGAAATGCAACTTCTCAGGGGGATTTGTCAAGTTACTTCATTAGCACCAAGGCCAAGGGCAGTCCAGAGCTGATGCAAAGTAGATCTGAGGGTTTCCTTTTGTTTGCTTGAGGTCTTCAGGGCAGTGGGAGTAAAGGCAGGAAAGGGGCTGCAATGTCCTTGAAAGGGACCAGAACCCCAAGCCCTTTTGGCCTGAATGCCAGCTTTTGTCTCCTAAGGGGCTTTGCTCAGCTCCCCAAGAGTCTGTAATGAAGCCCTTGATTAAGACCTCATTAAAAGTTCATTGACATTCATTATGACTGGGGCAATCACTGCAGCCCAGTGAGATGGAGGGAGCATGGGACCAGCCAGAAGCATAAAATCTGGATTTGAATGACCTTTCTGCTACTTCACAGCTTTGTTTCCTTGGGTAGGTTTTCTAATCTCTTGGGACACCCCTTTCCTCGCCCCCAAATTATCTCTAATGCAATGTTGCCATGAGAAAACTTTCGTCATTTGGTGCATCCTCATTCCTATCATCCACACCTTTCCTGTCTTCATCTGGTTGTGACAAGCCCTTTCGGACCAGCCAAGAACTTTTATTTCTTGCAACAGAGCACTGTGAAGCTTCCCAAGACAGGAAAGTCCTCTGAGACATATCACCAGGTTATAGGGGAAAACAAGAGCCTCTTGTTTGGTAGGTGCCAGTGTAATCCACTTGGCCTCCAGAAAGACAAAGTGTAGGCAGCTGAAAGAGGCATTCACAGATGATAAGTGAAAGTCTGATGTGTCCTTTTGCCCAAATTCAAGCTCCTGGCATCAGACCCAAGAACTAAGCACAGTAGCAAATCCCAAAGTGTGTTCCATAGAACATTCTTCCCTATGTTTGATATTCTACCCTTGGATCAGGGGTAGGGAATTCTGGGCTGCCTTCCCCCAATGAGCTCATGAATCTGCAAAGCTACCTTCACACCCATATGGTTCCATGTCAACCTCAGCCAATGCAACTCAACACCCACATGTTTTAATTTGTTTAGTTTGGTTTCGTTTGGACTTCGTTAAAAAACAAAATTCAACTGAATAAAGTTTGAAGATCGTATTGGCTTTATTTAATAATTCATGAATCAGGCAACATCTGATTGGTTGATAGAAAGGAGCTCCAAGTACCTATACAAAATGAAAGACTTTTACAGGCAGAAGGAAGCAGGAACAAAGAAGTTATACTAGCAAAAAAAAAAAAAAAAAAAGGCGGGTTGGTTATTGCAAAGTCACTTTCCTTTAGGGGACAGCAGGGATTTATCAGGCAGATGACCAGGTGATTCCTGATTGACTGGTTTAAGTTTTTATTTCTGGGAGAGAGCCAAAACTATAATTAAGTTAGGTCTTAATTTGGTGAGGCAGGACTTAGCATAAGCGACTCCATATTGGACCAATTGTCTTAGTTTTAATAGACTTCTTTAAGGCTTGCATTTTCCCAGGTCACACCTTGGGAAGTCAGAAAATGGCCTCTTCTGCTCTGGAAACTTGTCAGCTCCTCCAAAGATTCCATGAGAATTTCCATTCCCTCCACCATCACCTCCAACCTCAGGTAGCCTCTCATTTGTCCTTTCTTACCTATGGTTTTGTATCTTCCCTTGCTCTGGGCAGAGGAAAGATTTTCACTTTATCTTCAATTCTTCACATGCTCTGGTTGATGATAAGAACTTCATGTCTGATTCCCCCATTCAAAGCCAAGTTTCTAAAAAAAATCAAAGATTTTCATTTCTCTTGCAGAAGAGTCATGGCTTTTAATTCTGTATTTGCCTGTAGATTTATAAAGCTTCCGAGCTCAAAAGCCAGTGAATGGATTCTTTGTTCCCTCTGATTCTTCCCTACCCAGAGGACAGTATTTATAGAGTCCTACTGGCCGCATGGTTTTGGTGATAGAAGCAATGTCTGCAGAAAAAGGGATTAGACGTAGACAGCCATTTTTTTTGGCTTTTTTTTTTTTTTTTGGAGAAATAGTTGGCATATAACATTGCATAAATCTGAGGTGTACAATGTGTTGGTTTGATACATTTTTACATTGCAATATGATTACTACAGTACCATTAGCTGACACATTTATCATGTCACATAATTATCAATTCTTTTTTGTGTTGAGAACAGTTAAGATCTAGTCTCCTAGCAACTTTTGGAGTTTATAATACAATACTGGTGACTATAATCACCATGCTGTGCATTAGAGCTCCAGAACTTATTTGTCTACTAGTTGCAGATTTGCACCTTTCAACAGCATCTCCCCAATTCCCCCACCCTCAGTCCCTGGTAACCACCATTCTACTCTCTTATTATAACTTCAGTTTTAGATTCCACATATAAGTGGTATCCTACAGTATTTACCTTCATCAATCTGACTTACCTCAGTTAGCATAATGCCCTCAAGATCCATCCATGTTGTAGCAAATGGTAGGATTTTCTTCTTTCTTGTGGCTGAATAATATTCCATTGTATATATACCACATCTTCTATATCAGGTGATGGACATTTAGGTTGTTTCCATATCTTGGCTATTGTGAATAAAGCTACAGTGAACACAGGTGTGCAGGTATCTCTTCAAGACAGTGATTTCATTTCCTTCAGATATATACCCATGAGTGGGATTTGCTGGATCATGTGGTATTCAATTTTTAATATTTTAAAGAAACTACCATACTGTTTTCCATAGTGGCTATATCACTTACATTCCCATCAACAGTGTATAAGGGTTCCCCTTTCTCCACATACTTGGTGCTGGCATTCTTTTTTTTTTTTTAAGACTTTATTTATTTGAGAGAGAGAGCAAGAAAGAGAGGGAAGGAAAGAGAGCATGAGTGGGGAAGGGGCAGAGGGAGAAGCAGACTCCTTGCTGAGTAGGGAAGCCTGACCCAGGGCTCCATTCCAGGACCCCAGGATCATGACCTAAGCCAAAGGCAGCCGCTTAACCGACTGAGCCACCCAGACGCCCTGGTGTTGGCATTCTTAAAGGCCAGTAGATTAACACTGTTCGATCTTCTCCTCCCTTCTCCTCCCAGTGCAGAATAAATAAAAGACAAAGGAATCAGATGGAGATTGATATTAATTAGCTTGATTACTGATAAATACTGGATTGGATGACATGGCCTAGAGGCACAGCCCAATGGGCTTGCTAATTCCTTTGCCCCTGAATTTAATAATCCCCCCTCCCCCGGGTCCCTGCCCAGCTTGAAGCCCAGAGGCCTTCCCTATACTGTCATTCCATGGAGAGCAGAAGTGGCTTACCTTCTGCGGAACTAGCCTCTCTACAGGCCATGACGACTTCTTCAACACTAATCAGTTAAGGCATTCCTCCTCCCTTGAGAAGGAGAGAATAAGAGGGAAAAGAAAGAGTGGGAATTTTCCTTTGAACATGTAGAATCAAAACCAAGGATCCTAAAAAATATACATGGAATTAGAAAAACACCCCATTTAATACCAAAACATTATTTGCTAATAGCATCATAATCAAGTTCTGAAATCAATTTGCTATTATTTTACTTCAGTATTTTTGCACCTATATTCTTAGGTTAGATTGTTCTCCACTTGTATTCTTTGTGCAATTCTTTTTAGGTTGTACTCAAGTCATTGTGGTATCAAAGCATGCAATATGACTTCCATTTGCCCCTCTAGAGCCACCTCCACATTTATCTGCTCTCTGCCGTAGGAAGTTGACTCACATGGACCACACCAATGGACTCCATTGACCTATGGCTTCCAGTTGGGTTTGGTCAATGAAGAACCTAGGAACGAAATCGGAGGGCGGAAGGAAAATGATGTGATGGCATCTATTCTCCTAGCTCCTTCTTTCCAAGGTCGGGGGAAGCTCTCTAGATCCCGGGAGATCACAACTCCCAACAGGCCCTCCTACTAAGTTCTGATAATCACCTCTCCCATGTCCCCTTCAAGCCGAGGGTTGGTAACAAGACTGCATATCCATCTGGCATTTCTACACCCTTTCCACATCTTTATGGAGCTCTCTTCAAATTATCTAATGTGAATGTGACATCTGTTTTTTTGCTGGAAGCTGACTGACACATGTGGTTAGGCTAAGTTAGTAAAATGAACTGGAAAGACTTCTATTTTTATCTATGCTCTGGAACACATTAAATATTGCAAGAATTTTCTAGTCCTTGAAGGTCAAAGAACTAATCTTTAGTGGCCTCTTGGCCTAGTATTTTAAGGATGGGATAGTTCTTTGGCAAATGTTTAAAATTTTTCTCATGGTCATTGCTTTATTTAGGTTTCTTCTTCTTGCGTCAAGCTTGGTAACTGATATTTCCTAGAAAATCATCCAGTTCCTTAAGAATTTTATATGTATTAGCATGGCATTGTTCAGAACCCTGTTTTTCTCTTTTAATCCATTTAGAATCTATGGTCACCTTTCCTGTCTCACTTCTAATGTTATATAATTATTTTCCCAATAAGGGAAAATAATAAGTATAATAATACAATATATAATACAATAAGTATTGGTTAAGTTTATTCCAGTTGTGTATGTGTGTGTATGTTTTCTTTTAAGAGGTTTATTTATTTAAAAAAAAAACACAAAAAACTCATTGCAATCCACTAATTTGTAACGACCCACCGCTAGAGTTTGAAAAATACCACTACTAAGGAACTTCTGCATATGCGTAACAGTAGGCATAAGAGAAGATATTCAGGGAAGCACTAATAATAATTGGAAAAAGAAACAACAACTGGAAACAAAACTGGCCACTGGCAGAAGAATGGCTAATAAGCTGTGACACATCCACTCAATGGAATATTATTCAGAACGCCAATGAATGAGTCTCGGCTATTCAAATCCACCTCAATGAAATCTCAAAACATGATGTGGAGCAAATTGCAGAAGACTTCTTGCAGTATGATTCCAAGTTCACATTTATGGAGGGATATATACATATTTGATAAACTGTCAAGATAAGCAGGAAAGTAATAAGCAGAATTCAGGAAAATAGTTCTTTGAAGGGCAATTTGGGGAAAAGAGGGAAATCAGAAAGATGACAGGGAGCTTCTCAAGAAAGTTGGTAATGTTCTACTTCTTCATGAAGCATTCACAGCACTTCGTTTTATTATTTTGCATCATAACTTCAGTATACTACTCATGTACTTTGGGATGTTAATCTAGTTTTTTTTAAATGTATAATTAACTTTTATAACTGTCCTATGGATATTAGATGAATAGTGTCTGAGGAAGAGAAAGTCCTACATCTCCTTCAAACTTATCTTATTTTTTGGCTATCTGACCTCTCTGTCATATTTTTAAGTCTTACCTTATGACTGTGAATTTCTCATTGTACTTTTAAGTATTCTTGGCTTTAAATATTTTACTGTGATGTTATTTGGCACATAAATTTTTATGATGTCATATCCTTACTGTGCAGTGATCCCTTACAATAAAAAAACACTCCTTGCTCCATTTTTGCTTTTAACCTGAATTTGACATCATCTGATATTAATATTCTACCTCTGCTTTATTCTATTTACATTGCCTCAGCTCTTATTTAACCTTTATGTGTCATTGTTTCCTTTACAGTTTTCTTTTCCTGGCTCTCGTTATGCACATTGTTTTATTTTCTCTTTACTGACAAATTTTTTGGATGTTGTGCCAACCTTTACTATTCTACTGGTGGTAACTTCTGCATAAAAATAATTGTCTACATATTATTTAACATTATTCAATATTTTTAAAGATTTTATTTATTTATTTGGCAGAGAGAGACACAGCGAGAGAGGGAACACAAGGAGGGGAAGTGGGAAAGAGAGAAGCAGGCTTTCCGCCAAGCAGGGAGCCCGATGCGGGGCTCGATTCCAGGACCCTGGGATCATGACCTGAGCCGAAGGCAGACGCTTAACGACTGAGCCACCCAGGCGTCCCTAACATTATTCAGTTTTTTAAAAAGAACTTATTTTTCTGTATTAACTAACATTGAAAAAGACTCATTCTTGAGTAAGATAAGATATGCAACTTGTTATTGCTTCTGCACTTCCCTCCAGACCCACAAATCTCAATTTGTGCTGATTATAAACTGATGTTTTACATAATATCTCCACAGAATGTGATTTTTGAATTATTTAGTTTCTCATTAAAGAATTACTTTTGAGGGCGCCTGGGTGGCTCAGTTGGTTGGGCGACTGCCTTCGGCTCAGGTCATGATCCTGGAGTCCCTGGATCGAGTCCCGCATCGGGCTCCCGGCTCATCGGGGAGTCTGCTTCGCCCTCTGACCCTATCCCCTCTTATGTGTTCTCTCTCATTCTCTCTCTCTCAAATAAATAAATAAAATCTTAAAAAAAAAAAAAGAATTACTTTTGACATTTTTGCAGTTTTATAACAATACCAGTAAGAATTATTTTTTTCATACTGTGTTTTCATGGTCTCATTTCATATACAATACTGCTTCCTATTCTTAAATTCCTTGTTTCTTTCTCTCTCTCTCTCTTTTTTTTTTTAGAGAGAGACAGAGCATGTCGGGGGTGAGGGGAGGAAGGGAGTAGAAGGGCGGGGCAGAGGGAGAGAGAGAATCACCACCCTGAGATGATCATGACCTGAGCTGAAATCAAGAGTCAGATGCACAACCTACTGAGCCACCCAGGTGTCCCATAAATTCCTTATTTTTATTCAATCTCCCACTGAATTGTAAAGGTATTTGTTTGGCAATATTTTTAGAAAATGTATAGCAACAGTATTTTTGGTGAACATGTGATTTCAGATTGATTGGAATTTTTTGGTTCACAAGGATTTCCCTTAAAGTTTTCTAGATGATTTTCTGTGATCATCTGACATTTAGTGTTGCTGAGAAGGCTAATGATAAACACATTTTTTTTTCATTCATAAGTAACATTTTTTCTTTAATTAATACAGACTTGGTTTTTTTTCAACTTTAAAATTCAGAAGTTCAGGGGTGCCTGGGTGGCTCAGTCGTTAAGCATCTGCCTTCAGCTCAGGTCATGATCCTGGGGTCCTGGGATCGAGCCCCGCATCAGGCTCCCTGCTCCACGGGAAGCCTGCTTCTCCCTCTCCCACTCCCCCTGCTTGTGTTCCCTCTCTCTCTCTGTGTCTCTCTCTGTCAAATAAATAAATAAAATCTTTACAAAAATAAAATAAAAAAATAAAATTCAGAAGTTCAACAGAATATGTCTAGATAGTGTTTTGTTTTGTCTTGATAATTCTGTCTGCTATTCAATGAACACTTCCCATCCAAACACCCTAGTCTTTCTTCCTTCATTGCAGCAAATTTCTCTCTATCACTTTTCAGTTATTGCTTGCCATTTATTTGCTCTATTCTTTCCCTGTGAATTTTCTGTTTATATACAGAGAAGCAGTGCAGGTTAGTAGTCATAAGCATCAGATCTGGAGTCAGAAAAATCTGGATTGGAATTCGAGATTTGCCACTTATTAGCCATATGACCTTACTCAAGTTTATTCATATATCTAAATCTCAGTCTATGCATCCAAAAATAGGGACAATAATAATACTTACTTAATGGATTGTTAGTAGAATTAAATGAGCTAACACAGAAAAAGCTTAGCAATAATGCCTGGCTCTTTTTAAAATGCTTAATTAATGTTGTGCATCATTGTTTTTTCGTTTGTTTGTTTTGGGCTTGTTCCCCACCCCCCACCCCGAGAAACTTTTAGACTCTTTACTTTCTTATTTTATAAAGCAATATAAAAACTTTAGCCAACATTTATTGAGAGATAACTAATTGCCAGGCATGCCAAGCATTTTACATATGTTTTCATATTTAATTTCCACCCCAGCGAATGGAATAGGAATCTATTTTTTAATTGAAGAATAGTTGACATACAATATTATATTAGTTTCAGGTGAATAGCATAGTGACTTGATATTTATATACATTAGGAAACAACCATCAATAAAACCTCAATTAGTCTAGTTACCATCTGTCACCATACAAAGTTGTTACAGTGTTACTGACTATATTCACTATGCTGTACATTACATCCTCAAGACCTTCATTTTATACCTGGAATATTGTACCTCTTAATCACCTTAATCTATATTGTCCATTCCCCCTACCCCACTCCACTCAGGCAACCATCACTTTGTTCTCTGTATCTATGATCTGTTTCTATTTTGTTTGTTTTGTTTTTTAGATTCCACATTTAAGTGAAATCATATGGTATTTGTCTTTCTTTGACTAATTTCACTTAGTATTAGACCCTCCAGGGCCATCTGTGTTTATTGCAAATGGCAAGATTTCATTTTGTTAAGGCTGAGTAATATTCCATTGTATGTACAAACTGCATCTTCTTTATCCGTTCATCTATTGATGGACACTTAAGTTTCTTCCATATATTAACTATTGTAAATAATGCTGCAATGAACATAAGGGTGCATATGTCTTTTTGAATTAGTGTTTTCATTTTCTTCAGATAAATACCTAGAAATGGAATTGCTGGTAGTTCTAGTCTTAATTTTTTGAAAAACCTCTATGCTGTTTTCCACAATGGCTGCACCAATTTACATTCCCATCAACAGTGCACAAGGGTTCCCTTTCTCAGCATCTTTGCCAACACTTGTATATTGTCATTTTTGATAATAGCCATTTTGACAGCTGTGAGGTGATAGTTCATTGCAGTTTTGATTTGCATTTCTCTGATGATTAGTGATATTGAGCATCTTTTCATGTATCTGTTGGCCATCTGGATGTCTTCTTTGAAAAAAAGTCAATTCAGATCCTCTGCTCATTTTTTAAATCACATTTTCTTTTATACTGAGTTGTCTGAGTTCTTTTTATGTTTTGGATACTAACACCTTATTGAATATATCATTTGCGAATATTTTATCCCATTCAGTAGGTTGCCTTTTCATTTTGTTGATGATTTCCTTCACTGTGCAAAAAGCTTTTTGGTTTGATGTAGTCCTGTTTTGTTTTGTTCTGCTTTGTTTTGTTTTGCTTTGCTTCACTTTGCTTTTGTTGTCCTTGCCTGAGGAGACAGATCTAAAAATGTATCATTAAGACCAATGCCAAAGAGCTTACTGCCGATGTTTTCCTATAGGAGTCTTATGGTTTTACATTTAAGTCTTTAATCCATTTTTAGTTTTGGTGTAAGAAAGTGTCTAGTTTTATTCTTTTGCATGTAGCTGTCCAGTTTCCCAACACCATTTATTGAAAAAATTGTCTTTTTCACATTTTATATTCTTCCTTTTTTTCTCAT